AAACATATAGAACACAAAACTAAGGATTCCATTTCCCCTGCATCTTTTTTCAGGTGCTGGCTGTTTTCTCTCCTACATCCTTTATACTGACTACTAGGGCTGGAGGTGGGTGGGATAGATATACTCTTTTTTTCTTTTCTTTTTTTTTTAATATTTTATTGATTTTTTTACAGAGAGGAAGGGAGAGGGACAGAGAGCTAGAAACATCGAGAGAGTAACATCAACCAGCTGCCTCCTGCACACTCCCTACTGAGGATGTGCCTGCAACCAATGTACATGCCCTTGACCAGAATCAAACCTGGAACCCCTCAGTCCGCAGACCGACGCTCTATCCACTGAGCCAAACTGGCTTCAGCTGATAGGCATACTCTTGAATTAATTATACTTAACTATATTTTCTGTGTTCTTGATACTTGGGCATTTGGGGCCCTACTGACCCTGATGAAGTAAGGCCCCGCAGTTAGCTAATTCCTGAAAAAATGCCTTTGATAAGCAAACCACCCAGTCCAGAGTTCATTCAGGCACCCATGTCTTTTATCTGGTTCTTACACTCCAGAAAGCAATATGCCTCTGCTCTAAACTTTCCATGGCTAGATACCAGACAACTAAAGATCACCTTTGTAGCCCAGCGTCTCTAGCCCTCTGCCACCAGAGCCAGGGATTGAACCTACAACAAAGGTGCATGCCCTTGACCAGGAATCAAACTCGAGACCCTTTGGTCCATGGGCTGATGTTCTAACCACTGAGAAAACTGGCCAGGGCATAGATTGTGTTTTAATACGATGGCCTCTTAGTTCCTTAATTCCCATTTTTGGTAATCTTGTTGACCACTCAATACCCAGTCAAATAATGTTATGTCATTATCAATAACTGCAACTCTCCACAATCAAATTCCAAGCATCTCACTCTCAACTTCTGCCTCCTATTTTTCTAATTCACGCCTTTAAAACTCGAATTCTAATAATTCATTAACTCCACCAGGACCTGCAGTTAATCTTATGAAAATTTTATTATTTTTTATCTGCTGATGTTTTCATTTCCATTCTTACTCTGCTTACATTCCTTTCTATCACTGTGTCACTTTCTTTACATACAGCCTCTATTCCTCCCCCCCTCTGAATTTGTCTTATTTGCATGTCAAAACTCTAAACCTTAAGTGCAACCCTTTCACTACTCCATGCCTGCGTCTATATAGTCAAATAAGACAGGAGAAAAACACATATTAGTCAGTGTCACACACTAGAGGCCTGGTGCACAAAATTTCATGCACTGGGGGAGGGGGTCCCTCAGCCCAGCCTGTGCCCTCTCGCAGTCCAGGACCTCCCGCCACTGCCACTGCACTTGCCAGGTGTGAGCCTGGCTCCTGTTGGAGCACACTGACTACCAGGAAGCAGCTCTTGTGTTGAGCATTTGCCCCTGGTGGTCAGTGTGCATCGTAGTGATTGGTCGTTCCATTGTTCAGTCGATTTGCATATTAGGGTTTATTATAGGATATATATCTATAATATAATAATAAAAGTGTGATATGCTAATTAGACTGATGTCCTGGATAACCTTTCAGACGAAGCTGGGGCTGTGAGGGAAGCCTGGGTCCCAGGTGCCGGAGGGAGACCAGTGCTAGCAGCTGGGGGAAGGAAACCCTACTCTTGCACAAATTTTGTGCATTGGGCCTCTAATTCTATATAATAAAAGGCTAATATGCAAATTGTCCTCTCAGAAGTTCAACCAACCGCTTGCTTTGTTGTGCACTGACCACCAGGGGATGGCACACAATGAAGGAAGGCCCCAGCCAGCAGCCACCAGCTGGAGGAAGGAAGGCTCCCATTGGTCCTGATTGCCAGCCAGGCCTAGGGACCTTACTTATGCATGAATTTCATGCACCGGACCTCTAGAATTATATACATGCAAATTGACCATCACTTCAAGACACAAGATGGCTGCCCCCATGTGGTCAAAGATGGCTGCCCCCTTGTAGACACAAGATAGCCTGCAGGGGAGGGGAATTGTGGGAAGTTAGGGGTGACCAGGCCAGCAGAGAAGGGCAGTTGGGGTAGACCAGGCTAGAAAGGGAGGGCAGTTGGGGGCGATCAAGCCTGCAGGGGAGAGCAGTTGGGAGAAACCAGGCCTGCAGGGGAGAGCAATTAGGGGTGATCAGGCCTGCAGGGGAGGTCATTTAGGGGCAATCAGGCTGGCAGGGGAGCAGTTAGGCATCAATCAGGCTGGCAGGGGAGTGGTTAGGGAGTGATCAGGCTGGGTGCAGAACTGGTTAGTGGCAATCAGGAAGGCAGGCAGGCAGGCAAGCAGTTGGGAGCCAGCAGTCCTGGATTGTGAGAGGGATCCCAGATTGGAGAGGGTGCAGGCTGTGCTGAGGGACGCCCCCTTCCCCATGCACGAATTACATGCACTGGGCCTCTAGTTTTATTATAAAGGATCTTACTCAGAAATAGTCAGATGAAAGAGATGAATAGAGCCAGGTATGTGAAAAGGGCACAGAGCTTCCATGCCCTCTCTGGGCAAACCGCTCTCCTAATATCTTTACGTGTTCACCAACCTGAACCTCTTCGAAACCCACCCTTTAGGGTTTTTATGGAGGCATCATTACATAGGACAAATGATTAAATCATTGACCATTACTGATTAATTCACCCTCTGTGTATGGGTTTGTCATCTGTAAATAGAGATAGCTTTGTGTATTCTTTAAAAAAAAAAAAAAAATATATATATATATATATATATATATATATATATATATATATATATTTTTTTTTTTTTTTAATTGATTTTAGAGAGGTACAGAGAGAAACATCAGTGATGAGAGAGAATCATGATTGGCTGTCTCCTGCACACCCCCTACTGGGAATTGAACCCACAACCCAGTCATGTTCCCTGTCTGGGAATCAAGCCATGAACTTATGGTTCATGGGTCGATGCTTAACCACTGAGCCACACCAGCTAAGCTTTGTATTATTTTTCCAATCCAGACACCTTTTAATTATTTTTCTTGCCTAATTGCCTCAACTAGAACCTCCAATTAAATATTGAATAGAAGTGGTGAGAGCTGATATCTTTGCTGACCTTAGAAAGAAAGCTTTCAGTCTTTCACTGATAAGTATGATGTTAGCTATGGGTGTTTTTCTTCTTCTTCTTTTTTTTAATCAGGCTGAGCATGTTCCCTTCTGTTCCTAGTTTGTTTAGTATTCTGTCACAACTAGGTTTTGGATTTTGTTAAATGCATTTTCTGGTGTTTATTAAGATGATCGTGTAGGTTTTGTCCTGTTGATATGCTGTCTCAGTCCATTCAGGCTGGATTCAGGCTGCCATATGAAAATACCACAGACTAGGTGGCCTATCAGCAACAGAGATTTATCTCTTACAGTTCTGGAGACTGGAAGTCTGAGATCAGAGTGCCAGGATGGTAGGGTTCTGGTGAAAGCCCTATTCTGGGCTGCAAACTGCTGACTTCTCACTGTGCCCTCACATAGTAGAAAGAGGCAAGAGATAACTTTGGACTTTTTTTTTTTTTTTTAACTATATTTTTTATTGATTTTTTTACAGAGAGAAAAGGAGAGAGATAGAGAGTTAGAAACGTCGATGAGAGAGAAACACCGACCAGCTGCCTCTTGCACACCCCCTACCGGGGATGTGCCCGCAACCAAGGTACATGCCCTTGACCGGAATCGAACCCAGGACCTTTCAGTCCGCAGACCGACGCTCTACCACTGAGCCAACCTGGTTTTGGCTGGAGTTTTTTTTTTTTATAAGAGTAATAATTCCACTCATAAGGGCTCTGCCCTAATGACCTAATCACTTAGCAGAGATCTCACCTCTTAATACCATTACACTGACCATTAAGTTTTAACATTTGAATTTTGATGATTTGCAGGGGGTGGGGCACAGACATTCAAGCCATAGAATATGGCATATAACATTGATTTTCATATATTTAACTACCCTTGATTTCCTAAGTTAAATCCCAGTTAGTCGTGATGTATAATTCTTTTTATATGTTGCTGGATTACATTCGCTATTATTTTTGTTGAGGATGTTTTCATCTTTATTACTAACGATACCAGTCTATGGTTGTTTTTTTCTTATGATGTCTGTGTGTGCTTTTGTATCAGGATAATACAGACCTCACAGAATAAGTTGGGAACTACTACTTCTCTTTGAAAAAATTTGTAAAGGTGTTAATTCTTCTGTGAACATTTGGTAGCGTTCACCAGAGAAGGCACCTTGTTCTGGGTTTAATTTGTGGGACATTTTTGATTACTAATTCGATCTCTTTACCTATTTTAGGTCTACTCAGATACTCTGTTTCTTCTTTTCTTACTGGTTTCAGAAGAAGGGAGAGGGAGAAAGGGGAAGAAATACCAATGATGAGAACCATCGATGGGCTGCCTTCTGCACACCTCACACTGGGGATAGAACCCATAAACCATGCCCCGACTGGGAATCAGACCATGACCTGATTTGTGGGTCAACCACTGAGCAACACTGGCCTGGCTATTCTTTTTCTTAAGTCAGATTTGGTAGGGTGTGTCTTTCTGGGAATTGTCCACTTCATCTAGTTTATCTAATTTGTTGGCATTATATATTCCTCTTTAACATAAAAAAATTTATAGACTACTTTTTAAACTTTCTGCTATTTTAGGTAAACTTTTCTACAGTTAGTTCAGATTTAAAATTTTTAAAAATATATTTTTATTGATTTCAGAGAGGAAGGGAGAGGGAGAGAGAGAAACATCAATGATGAGAGAGAATCATTGATCTGCAGCCTCCTGCACACCCCCCTACTGGGGATCAAGCCTGCAACTCAGCATGTGTCTTGGATCAAACCTGGTACCCTTCAGTCTGCAGTCTGACACTATCCACTGAGCCAAACTGGCTAGGGCTTAAATGTTTTTAAATTATGTAGTTGTTGTATATGAAAGCTGCACAATAGGAAACTAGTTTTTAAGAATCATCATTCTTTCTATTAATATTTACATTTTGTATTTTAGGATTGTATACTCATCAAACAGAAACTTAAAAAACTATGAAAAGGAAATTCTTAGGAAAAAGATAGGAGAGAGTGGGTTACCACAAACTAAACATGACTTCAGTTTTGGAAAGTATACTGACAATGATGGAAGACCGTCTTTAGAGCTCTTAGATAAAACATCACCTGATTGTTCTCTTCTGAAGCATGAAATTCCAGATATCAACAATGAAGAGGACAGTTTTATTTCCAGTGGTAAGGCATTTTATTTGTTGATTTTTATAAAATTTTGTGGACATGAAAGTAATTATATTTTGATATAATTAGATAAAAGCATACTTCAAATATAAGCTCTAATGCTCTTTTTATAAATTAAATGAAAGTAAATTTTATGGGTAAATGAAAACAATAATATGGTCAACTCTCATATTCCCAAGTAATTGGAGATGGAATTATTATAAAATAAATACACATTTAATTTACATTTATCCTTTTAAGCCTCCACATGTTATTATCCTTATTCTAATCATAGTCAGTTCTGTTATTATACAATGTAATGCATTTCTTAAAAAAAACACCATACTACACAAAAATAACTGTTACTTTTTGTCATGACACTGAAAATTTTGCCATGACACATTTTTTAAAGATAGGAGCATAATAAAAATGATAGCTTAGTTTTAAACATGTTAAAAGGTTAAGAATATATAAATACTTCAATAAATATGGCATTTGACTTGGAAAAAACCTTTACTTGTTTGTGAGAGTGCATGTCAGAGGAATTGCAGCTTGTGACTTGTGGAATGGTACGGAAGGAGGATGTTAAGGATATAGCTATAGACATACAGATATGTAGAAATAATAAATGTTCTAACAGGAAACTTGAGATCTCTGAGTCAGAGAACAAGCTGTTTATAATATTATGCACAGAGCATTTTAGTGCTAGTTCCAACTCCCAGTTCCCATAAGGCTATGTGGTGAGGCTGGGATGTTATCCTTCACATGCAGTGGGATTGCACCACAGAGAGAAACATGAAAATTCAGTGAGTTTTATAGTGTTCCAGCAGATCTGCCCATCCTCCAAACCAGAGAAAGACAGAGAGACAAATAGAACTTTACTTTGGAAGGTAAATACATCTCTGGGGAGGGGAGAGGAAGGCAGTGTAAGGAAATGGTTTGGGGTGAGGAGCATCTCAAAATCTTTTGGGGCATCACATTATCTCTAGCTTCCAAGGCATATTTACTGTTAATCTTTTATCCAAATTTGCCAGCACTCTCTTCTGAAAGACCAGACCATGTAGAAATACAAATATATTAATAGAAAGTAGTTTCCCAAATATTGGTTGAACTCCCCCTAAAATAAGATGGGAATTTGTAACACCAGATATGGATGGGTGTGGCTCATAACATGCGGTGAACTGGTATCTAGTGGATGTTTTAGGTGTTTAGGTGTGCTTTGTGTATTTTTCCATGGCTCAGTTCAGTTGGTACAGTTTTCTGCATTGACCTAGTGTTTCTCGTGGATGAGCTTGTACCTAATCAAATGAAAATTTTCTGTTATGCTAAGATTGTTCCCTAATATATCAATTTTTTTGCGTCAAACTTAACGTTTTCAAAACAAGTGTTACAGCAGAATTGAATGTATATGGAATGATCAGTTAAGTAAAGGATTTTGTTACTGATTAATTCAATAATAATAACAAAGTGATTTTAGCTCAGTTATATTACTCTGATTATTCACCATACTTTATTATCTATACTAATAAAAGGATAATATGCTAATTAGACTCGGTCGACCAGAAATCTTACAGTCGTCTGTTCCTCCAGGACAAAGCCACAGTGGTGGGGGCCAAAGCAGAGGCGGTTAGGGGTGATGAGGCTGGCAGGTGAGGGCAGTTAGGGGCCATCAGGCTGGCAGGGGAAGGTAGTTAGGGACGATCAGACCAGCAGGGGAGAGTGGTTAGGGGAAATCAGGCAGGCAGGCAGGCAGGTGAGTGGTAAGGAGCCAGCCGTCCGAGATTGTGAGAGGGATGTCTCATGGCCGGTTTATGGATTTTCCTGTGGGGGCCTGGATTGGAGAGGGGGCAAACCTGTCTGAGGGACACCCCCATCCCACCTCTACCCCCCGTGCACGAATTTCATGCACTGGGCCTCTAGTGGTGAATAAATAAGAATGAACGAACGAATGTCTATTCTGTGTTTGAGATATATCCATTCATATATTTTATCTCCTTTAGTCTCAGATAAACTAAGACGGAAGTGGTTACAGATTCCTTTTTTAGGCAGGATTCCAAGGCTCAGGATTAAAGGACATTCCCAAAGTCGTACATATAGACATGGGCAGAGCTGGTATTTTTCCTGCTTGTAGTTTAGAGCTTTGCAGTGGCCCCACCACAACCCATTAAAGCAGCCAAACAAGTTAGTAAAAGTGAAAAGAGTTCTACTTCTCACCCCTCTGCCTTTTAATCACTTTCTCCATCACTCCTTAGAAAATGCCCATGTTTTCCAGTTCACAGACACTTGTCCATATTTTATTAACTTCTTTGTAGTCTTTCATACTGCCAATACCACCCTCCCCGAATCTTCCTCTGTGTTCTGTGACATTGTGCTCTCTTGATTTTCTTTGTTTTTCCTTGTTCTCTTTAGCACATCATCTTTCTGCCCTTTAGATAATTGCTGTTCTTATTTTTTTTTTGAACTTCATATATCTAAATACAGGGTGAAGCAAAAGTAGGTTTACAGTTGTTTGTGTGAAAAATAATACAACAGTTAATAATAATACAAGAATAAACTCACAACTGTAAATCTACTTTTCTTCCACCCTGTATACCTTAAATATCTCAAAGTTTAACCTGTCCCAAACTGACCTTATCGTCCACCTCTCCCAACCTGCTCTTTATTTGACTACTCCATCAGTGTGAATTCTCTACGTATATAAAGTAGAGAACCATGCTAATTAACTGGGACACCGGAACGGGTCAACCGGACAGGAGGAGGTTGTGTGCACAGCGTCGAGGGCGCGCCTGTGCTAGGGGAGGGCCTGATCAGCAGCGCCACAGCTGCTTCAAGGGCTGGAGAGGGAGGCAGGGCCCAGAGGACAAGGCAGGGCTGGACCGCAGAGGCTGCTGCAGGATCTGGGGAGCGACTCGATGGTGGGCGGTGTCACATCCTGCGCTGGGCTCCTGTATTATACTATGTTTCTATTCATTTACTCTCCTTGTACTCTTCTGTTGATTTATTAACCTGTCTGTTGATTTACCTCCTAAGTAAAAACTTCTCTTATATATCATGTTGCCAATTCTTTATTTTAGGACTTTGCTATTTTCCTTGAGAATTTGCACCCCAGCTGCTTGCCAGGCCTCTCATTGTGCCACCCATTTATATCATATAGAACAATGTCTGTTGATTGCAAATCTACTGGTGGCACTCCTCTTACTAAAATTCTCCAGTGGTGTCACACAGCATTAATATAAATCTCAAATTCTTTCCTGCAGTGTAAAGGGATTTTGTGAACTGGCTCCTGTCTAGAACTTTACACCATCCTGATTTCAAAACCCCCTTGTATCCCATTAGCTCTTGTCTTACCGAATTACTTGGTATTTCCCTCCAAAAAAACTATATTTAGTCACTTTGCTTTTGCACTTGCTATTTGTTCCTGGAAGGTCATTTGAATTATTCATCACAGTATTCAATTGAGTATCAACTTTGTGCTCGGAGTTGAAGATTTACAAGTGAACAAAACAGGTAGTGTTCCTGTCCTACAATGTAGTAGTGTTATCTGTGGGGTGCTGTTGCTGATGGAAGTGAACTTCTTGGTGTGCCGTAGGAACAAGAACTCCCTGAGGCCCCCGCGGGAGGATGAGATACCATGGAAAGCTTTATTTCTGTGGAGTTAAACCCCTGCATTTCCAAGGTTCAATCTCCCTCCGTCCCACCATAGAAAAAGTTCCATAGATCCAGCAGAGCTAAGATCAAGGCATTGCCCAGTTTCCGCTCCACATTTGCCCAGTCCAGGCCAGCATCAGGCTAGTTATGTTGTGTTCACAGCTGCAATCCATTGCGTGTAAGGTCCGCATGGCCTGGGCCATGTGGTTTCTAGGCCACCTGGCTGTGGAGGGAGCATGGGTGAGTGCAAGAAGCAGGAGCAAAGCAAGAAGAGTGAGGCAGCCAAGAGAATTCCTTTGTTTGGGGAGTATGTGTATCCAGATTATTGTGGGCTTGCAGTGGCTCCATCCCCTAGCCAGTTATCTTTGTTTCAGGTTCGACTGAGAGGTAAGCACCTTTCCTTGTCATCCCAACTTCATTGTGCATGTACCCATCTTCCCCTCTGTTGGACCTCTTCCTCTAGTGATCGTAGGGAATGGGCCCGTGGTTCCCTGGGGAGTATGAAGTTGAACCTCCTTGTGAAGCTGACCAGGTGACCATGCTTATAATGTCTGGCCTCCACATCGCTCCTTTCCTATTATTAATATTAATAACAGGTACAACAGTAACAGTAGGAGATAGGTGGATTATGTACAAAGTGTGATAAAGACACAAATAGGGCATATGTTACCTGGATTTAAGCTTCTAAAGAAAACTATCTGGAGAAAGTGACGTCTGAATTAAGTCCTAAAAGGAAGAATAGTTGAGGGGAGTATTCTAGGCAAAGGAAACAACATGTCTGGAGGCACAGAGCCAGGTAGAGAGCATATTTGGAAAATTAGAAGTGGTTTGTTGTGAGAGTGGAGGTGAAGTAGAGGATAGAAATGGTTACAATAAGAAACGAGCCTGGAGATATAAGCAGAAGCCAGATTATGAAGAGCCTTATATAAAGGATGATCTTATATTTTATTGGCTAGTCTGGGATCCTCATGAGAGAGTGAAAGGTGAAATTTATTACTGCTATTGGTAATTATTCTGGGGCAGCAACAGGCATTAACTGGGACTGTCCGAGGCTAACCAGGTATGTGGTCACCTTGCTCATAAGCCATCTTAAGGAGTTTGGGGGTGCCACTTTGCAGTGGTCAAATTCTGGATCTCTTTTGATCAGTAGAGCCAATATTGGCATTCTGGCTATAAATACTTAATTTGTAATTTTGGTTAGTAGGAATCTGTCTCCTGTGACTGATCCTCACCAGATGTACTGATGAAAGTTTCTGGACTGACAAAGCTATGACATACAGAGTAGTGTTTTTCTTTTTTCTTTTTTGTATACATGTTTTATATTTTACTTCCCACTACCTAAATTGTGAACCTTTTGAAGTAGAGCTAATTTATAAAATATTGATGTTCTATACCTCTCCATACTGTGTATAGTACTAAACTCATAGTAAGTGTTCTATAAATCCCATTTATTTCAGTTGAATTTTAATTAAATTCACTGATAATTCTAGCCATAAATCCAATAATAGGAAGGAAAAATACCAAAATTGGAAAACTTTCTTATTTTCTATGTCAGATGTTCATGCAGTGGTTTCTATTTTGGTTTATAAGTTTATGATACTATTACCTATATTTAAATGTGTATCTACATTTAAAGGTATATCTATATTTAAATATAAGTGGAAATACTTATTTCAAAGCAGAAAGTATACATGATTTAAAATGTTGTTTTATTTTTAACTTTCCACTTAAATATTCCAGTTATTGTTGCTCTATTTCAATAGCTGATCAAGATAACTATGTGGCCCAACCCGTTTGGCTCAATGGATAGAGCATTGGCTTGGGGACTGCAAGGTCCCGGGTTCGATTCCAATCAAGGGCATGTACCTTGGTTACGGGCATATCCCCAGTAGGGGGTGTGCAAGAGGCAGCTGATCGATGACTCTCTCTCATCAATGTTTCCAACTCTCTCTCTCCCTTCCTCTCTGTACAAAATCAATAAAATATATTAAAAAAAGAAAATAATTTTAAAAAAAAGATAACTATGTGGAAAAACCTTTTGTTAATGTTAAAATATAATTTTTTAAATATTTATATTATTAAATAAACTAATTTTTAGTTTTGTTTTCTCTTTTAAAGATATTCATGACTTGGAACCTGCATCTGAATTGGGAAAAGACTTATTGAATCTTTACATGAATCATTGTTGCCCAGATATTGATATTTACGTGGATGGAAAAAGTTTTAAAGCTCACAGGTAACTAGGCATGTGATTGGTTTGGTGTCTTGGTTGTGGCAGTATCAAGTGTAAACGGGTGACTGTGTTTTTCTAGCACAGTGGCTTCCCGGCTCTGATTACACTGGGGTTCCATGCTGATCCTTCAGGGGTCTCTGACAGGGGAGGGGTTGGCCATCAGGCTTTTTGCCTGTGGGTGCACACAAGCCTCAATCCCAGCATGTGCACATGCTTCAGACAGAGCAGATCTGTGTTTTGCATTGGGCATGAACCTAAGCTTTCATTAGAAGAAAATATTCTGCTGCCTAAAATAGATTTGAAAGCCACTGTCACAGAAAATGTAATTAAATGCAGTTTTTCATTTCACAGGCATTATAGTATTAAGAATGATTATTTTTACATGAATGACATGTATTTTCTCTGAATGCATTTCAATTCAGTCTTTCATTCAAAATGGATTCTAGTGAATAGCATTGATTAGGAGGTTTAATATTTCAATGTACTTTAAAAAAAAAGTCTGCTTTACTATTAGGTTGCTTAGACATTCAAATTAAATTTTGCTGCCTGTGTTGGTCCAGTTCTTTTTTTGCAAGTAATTAAAATCTGCTTAAAAGAAGAAAAAATTTTAACAAGAAATACAGATTTTCTGTTGGAACCCAAGGGACAGAAGTACAGCTGGTCCTCACAGTGGACTAGAATCAGAACCCGAAAACTGAGGGACCCAGGCAGTTCTTCTCTTTCCCTCTCTGTGTTTCAGAGAGAATGTTGGCAAGTTACTCTGGTGCTCCTGAGGGGAAGAACCAGATTATTTGCAGTGGCAAGAAGCAGTCCTCGAGGTGCAAGGGTGCACAGCCTTAATAATATTAGCATTGTTTAGATTTCAGGCATTCATCAAGCCAATCAGTAGTAATGTTTGTGCTTTCAAAAATCATACTGGTGCCCTGGCAGGTGTGGCTCAGTTGGTTGGAGCATTATCCTACGCACCGAAGGGTAAAATTCCCAGTCAGGGCACATACCTAGCCAGTCAGGGCACATATGGGGGGCAACAATCAATGTTTCTCTTTCACATTGATGTTTATTATCTCTCTTTTTCTCCCTCTTCCTTCTGCTCTCTCTGAAATCCATGGGATCATGTCCTCAGGTGAGGATTTAAAAAAATCATACTGGTTTTGCCCACTAATTGACAGCATTACATTGCTAAACTCTAGGATTGCCAGTTTCAGTCAGGCTATTTACCATTCAAAATTTAAACTTTTCTCTCTGGGAACATATATTTTTAATTACATGCATACACATTTTCCTAATATTTATAAAATATTCATTATATATAATAAAATCCTATCTAATAAAGAGGGAATATGCTAATTGACCATCACACCCTCACAAAGATGGTGGCACCTATAGCCAATAAGGAGGGAATATGCTAATTGACTGTCACGCCCTCAAAGAGGGCAGCACCCACAGCCACAAGATGGCGGTGCCCTGTCCCCTCAGCCCCATCTGGGTGGCAGGCACATGGAACAGTTGGACCCACTACCAGGCGGGTCCGGCCACTCCATGTGCCTGCCTCCAGAGTTCCCCTGTACCTTCAGCCCCCGAGCCACCCAGGGCCAGCCTGAGGTGCATGCAAGCCTCGGATAGCAGCTTCCCAGACACCCACAGATGCTCTGAGGTGCAGGCAAGCCTCAGATGTCAGCTGTCCAACCGCCTAGGGCCACCTGAGGTTCAAGTACCAGGGCTGGCCGAGACTTGCGCTACCGGCAGTGGCAACAGCAGAGGTGTGATGGGGTGTCACCTTCCCCTGATTGCCAGTTGCCTAGTATACAATCACACGCATATGTTTCTATCTGTCATTGTCAATTGTAAATTTGGTTGACACTTCTGTTATAGAGAAAGGACGAATAGCATTATTAAAATATTTTCTTTTAATTAATTTCCTTTCAATGTGCACAAATTCATGCACCAGGCCACTACTAATTATAATAAAACTCCAAATTACCATGCAATAAAGTGAGTTACTAAAGTCTTAATACTAATTATTAGTGATAAATGGTCTACTTGAGTGGCTTAAAACAGTGATAAATTATGTCCAGGAACCATAGAAGAAAGAAAGGCAAAATTTTTGCTACTATAGGTTTTTGTGGGCAGTAGCAATGGGAAACAAAGCAAAAGCCACTGGAAGCCTGAAAGGAAACAAACTACTTATAGAAGCCCCTTAACTAAATTTGACTAGATCTGCTCTTTATTTTTTTAAATATATTTTTTATTGATTTCAGAGAGAAAGGGAGAGAGAGAGAGAGGTATCAATGATGAGAAAATCATTGGTTTATTGCCTCTTGCATGCCCATATTGGTGATGGAGCTCACAACCTGGGCATGTGCCCTGACTGGGAATGAACCATGACCTCCTGGTTCATAGGTTGATGGATAACCACTGAGCCACTCCCAGCCAGGCTAGAACTGCTTTTTATATGTTTTTTTTTATAGAACTTGGTAATAACATGTTTGGCAGGTTATTTTCTAGGATACCTACACATTTCCATTCCCTATTAGTGAATTTGTGTCTTCCAAGAGTCACTTGGATTTATTAGCAAACCTTTTAATACCATTTGAATTTATTATTTTGATGTCATAACAATGAAATATCACATGAAGCAATGATATATGAAATATGAAAAGAAAGAGGTACTGTTCCAATGAAAACTAAAAGTGAATGCTTTGGAAAGATTTAATAAAGGAGAGGCACTTTAAAAATTGCTATTGATGCCGAAACCGGTTTGGCTCAATGGATAGAGCGTCGGCTTGGGAGCTGAAGGGACCCGAGTTCGATTCCGGTCAAGGGCATGTACCTTGGTTGCGGGCATATCTCCAGTAGGGGGTGTGCAAGAGGCAACTGATCGATGACTCTCTCTCATCAATGTTTCTAGCTCTCTATCTTTCTCTCCCTTCCTCTCTTTACAAAATCAATAAAATATATATTTAAAAAAATTGCTATTGAATTCAGTATAGATGAAACAAAAATTTGAGGGGGAGTTATAAAACTCTAAAAATGATTCAGATTGTTTCATAAAAGTTTGAAATTTCCTTCTTAGTTTAGAACAGTTTAACTATAAATCAGAGGGAGCATATATTGGTATATTTTTTGCAAGAAATATAAAGCTCCAATCAATAAATCCACATTTAAAAAAAGATTGGCCTTATGTTAAAAGATTTGTGAATGAATGCATATTTATATTTTGAATGAGAATAAAATGATTATGATATATACAAATCATTTTTAAAATTCTCCCCTGATTTTTTTTTTTTTATTAAATAAGGAACTATCAGTTCTAATTGTGTTGGATAATAGGGCACTTGCTACACTTTACAAATAATTATTTAACTTAGGAAAGACAAAACCTATGAAAGCTATAGTTATTGGATATTAAAGTGGATGTCTTAAAAGAAAGCCGACTTTCCTTTTTTTAAATTTTATGTTCTCTAAAATATTTGCCAAGAAGTGGTGTGTGTAATAGTGACAGCTCCTAAAAGTTTGGATCTACTACTCTGGATTTAATCCTTATGACATTAGGTGGAAATAAAAAGGAAAAAAAAATATTGGAAGCAAGAGTATTTTAGAAAACAGTTCTTTTTAAAAAATCATTTTTAGAGCTTCTCTGAGTAATCCAGGCCATTATTCTGCCTGGAGTAGTGAATCTAGTTCAGCTAACATCAGGAAGAATTAAATAGCAATGTACTAAAGCAAGAGCGAGGTGGAAATTAGGGCATCTCAACAGAGCCAGAAGCAGCCTTGTGATTTGAAATTAAATGTAATCAAAAAGAGAAAATCGTTTTGGCATGTTGGAAAAGGAAAAATCTGACAAAGATTTTAAAAATAATCTACAGCATTATATTTTAAACTGAGGCTTGTACCCTGCTTAAATGGGAATATTTTCTAATTTTCTGTCTTCAGGTGAGGGTAATTGTTTAAGCCCCAGATGCTTTTATTCTTATTTAGATGGAAAAGCCAGGTGTTGTGTTAGTTCAAGTCTTCTGAGAAGCAGACATAAAGATGGAATTCGACTTGCAAGAAATTTATTAGGGTAAATGCCTGTGAGAGAACCTGGGAAAGAATCTAGAGGTGACTAGGAGAGCTGTTAAACTGAAATGTTATCCTGACCCTGAGTAAGGGAGACAGGAGAGAGAAAGAAGCTTGGTAGAAGCATCTTAGACTGCAGTGCAGTTCTGAGGAAAGTTTGATAGGTTGGTAGAAAGTTTCTAAGCCAAAGTCACCTATCAGAAAAGGCCCTGTCTCACAGGAATAGGCTTATTTTTATTATCCCTGATATGCTGAGTGACTGGCAGGGAACACCAGTGAGAGGTGGTCTTGGAACCAAGGTGGTATGTATTTCAGAGTACTGTAGCAGCCCATCAACTATTCTCGTCATTGATGTTTCTATCGCTCTCTCCCTCCCACTACCCCCTACCATATCCTCCATCTGCCATCTGCCAGGCCTGCAGCCTGAGCCCAGAGGGAGACCCAGTGCGGCTGCTTCTGAGGGGCAGAGGTCATGTAGAGGTGGTGGAGGAGCTGGAGCTCGAGCAGGCTGCAGCGCTGCAGAGAAAAGAGGGGATAGAGAAGGAGGAGGCAGAGAAGAATGGGTGGTGGGGGCAGGGAAAGAGGGGGAGGCAGGTCTGAGCCATCCTTTTACTTTTTTTTTCTTGGTTAATCCTCACTGGAGGATATTTTTTTTTTTAATTTATCTTTTTAGAGAAAATAAAAGAGAGAAAAACGTTGATTGGTTGCCTCCTGCACGTGACCTGAACAGGGGCAGGGAGAAGCCTGCAACCAAGGTATATGCCCTTGATAAGAATCAGACCTGGGACTGGCCTGCAGGCCATGCTCTATCCACTGAACCAAACTGGCTAGCGCATCCGTATATATTTTTTAATTAGGTAATCAGAGAGAAACCAAGATGGCGACATAGGTAAACACCTAACTGCAGCCTAACACAACAATTTCAATAAAATACAACTAAAATACAAAATGGATATTACCAAAAACTATAGGAAAGTTGACTGACTGGAAATTCTACAACGAAAAGGAAAGAGAAAACCAGAAGGAAAATCAGAGGAGCTGTAAAAGACTAAGGTTCGGAGACATGCTGTGTGCACGGAGAGGACTAAGCCGAAGAGGAGGGGGAGGCTGAGTGCCTGGCTGGCGTTCCCAAGCAGGAAGGAGATAAAAGCTCTGGAATGTGCTGAAACCAGATCCGACAGTACTGAACTCCAGTTCTAGGCCAGACCCTGGGGACCCAGACACATAAGGAGGGAGCCTGGGCTGTAAGGAGGAAACCCAGGGGAGCGGCGAAAGGAGGACCCGGAGGTACGCACATTGCGCTCAGAGAACGGACAGTTGACTGTGTTGCTGGATTGCCCTAGCGGAAAGCAGACAAAAGCTCCACACTGCTCTGAACCCCACTTCCAACTGAACTGAACCCCAGTTCGAGGCTCATTGGGGGAGAGCCTAGACTGTTTGGTAGCAGGCGAAACTTGAGGGCACCTTTCTCATAGAGGTGCCTCCACCCTGAAACTCCGCCCCATCCAAGCTGAACACAGAGACCTTTAAGGCTACCAACTCAGGGAAGCTGGAAAATGCCGAGACAAGGAAACATCACAAACAAAAGAAATGGAGGACAAAAAGCGTCTGGATATAGTGTTCAAAACCACGATTATAAGGTTTTTCAAGAATTTCCTAGAAAAGGCCAATAAAATAAACGAAACCTATGAGGATATGAAAAGGGATCAACTAGAAATAATAAGAGATCAACTAGAAATAAAGAATACATTGTCTGAAATAAAAAATATTATACAGAGTCCTAAAAACAGAATGGAAGATCGCAAGAATCAAGTCAAAGATTTGGAACATAAAGAGCCAGAAGACACTCCTCTGCAGAAGCAAGAAGACAAGAGAACCCAGAAAGTTGAAGATAATGTAAGAAACCTCTGGGACAGCTTCAAGCGAACCAACATCAGAATTATGGGGGTCCCAGAAGAAGAGAGAGAGCAAGATATCGAAAACATACTGAAAGAAATAGTGACAGAAAACTTCCCCCACCTGGTGAAAGAATTAGACTTACAAGTCCAGGAAGTGCACAGAACCCCAAACAAAAGGAATCCAAAGAGGACCACACCAAGACACATCATAATTAAAATTCCAAGAGCAAAAGACAAAGAGAGAATATTAAAAGCAGCAAGAGCAAAGCAGGTAGTTACCTATAAAGGAGCTCCAATACAATTGTCAGCTGATTTCTCAACAGAAACCATGCAGGCCAGATGGGAATGGCAAGAAATATTCAAAATGATGAATGGCAAGAACCTACAGCCAAAAATACTCTACCCAGCAAAGCTATCACTCAGAATCGAAGGCCAGATAAAGAGCTTCACTAATAAAAAAAAGCTAAAGGAGTTCATCACCGCCAAACCAGAATTATATGAATTGCTGAAGGGGGTACTTTAGGAAGAGGAAGAAAATAAAGATAAAAATTATGAACAACTAATACATAACTAACAACAAGTGAATCTAAAAACCAAGGGAATTAAAAAATCTGATGAACAATATTAACTGTTGAATATAATAGAATCAGAGGTATGGAAGGGGAGTGAACTGACGATTCTCGGGGAAAAGGGGAGTGAGGGGTGTGGGAAGAGACTGAACAAAAACTGTGCACCTATGGATGAGGACAATGAGGGGTGGGTAAAGGGCAGAAGGTAGGGTGGGAACCTGATTGAGGGGAGCAATGGAGGGGGAAAAAAATGAACATTTGTAATAATCTGAACAATAATGATTTATTAAAAAATAAATAAGGTCATCAATTGCTACTAAAAAAAACTTAATCAAGATTGTGTGCAATCTAAAAATTGATTTAGGTAGAATGGTCATGTTTTGGATTTCCAAGTCCATGAGTGCAGTTTAGTTCTTTCTCAGGCATTGTAAAATTTATCTCAAAAATGTTTTATAGTTTTTAATGTAGAGCTATTACACTTTTTTGTTTATTTGTTCTAAGTACTTGACCTTTTAGATACCAGTGTAAATGAAATCTCTTCTTTTTCTAGATGTTGATTATTATTCCTGATTTTATATATATATATACAAAGCCTAAGCGACCGTTATGATGTGCACTGACCATTAGGGGACAGATACTTAAGGCAGGAGCTGCCCCCTGTTGGTCAGTGCACTCCCACAGGGGGAGCGCTGCTCAGCCAGAAGCCGGGCTAGTGGCTGACAAGCGCAGCTGTGGCGGCGGCAGGAGCCTCTCCCGACTCCATGGCAGTACTACTGAGGCAGTAGCCGTGGTGGGCCAGGATGAGTGTGAGCAGTGAGGCACCCAACCCTAGTTTTGGCTCCTCCCTGGCCACCTGCCACTTGGTGCACTGCTACATCCCTCTCGCAATCCAGGACCCTTGGGGGCCTAAACCAGCAGTCAGACATCCCCCAAAGGGTCCCAATTGTGAGAGGGCACAGGACGGGCTGAGGGACACCCCCTCAGTGCACAAATTTTGTGCACCTGGCCTATAGCCTTGGGATAATTGCTGAACATTTTCTTGAGAATTTATAAAAGTAATTTGACATTCTGGGTGAAGTTATTTTAATGACTACAGGGCTTCCTTTTGCTTCTGACCAGCAGTTAGGCTGGATTTAGATCACTTTAATTCAGTCAGGAGTTCAGCTGATTCAGAGCTGGACTTCAGTTCTAATAAGGGCTTGTCCGTTTCCCACTCATTATTCTCCCTTGTTGTGTAGCTTTTCTGAGCCCACCTGTAATCCTGGGGTACCCACCAAAGGCTCCCCTCTTTGATGGATACCAAATTCCTATTTGTATGCATGTAAGCCAGTGAAGAGTGCTAGAAGCTATGCTCAGCTTTCAGCCTCTCAGCCATTGCTTTTGCTTTTGGATTTGGCAATTGCCTCAATGGAAAAAGTTACCTCAAATACTTGTGTTCTCTCTCATAACTTGTCTTAAAAGCTACCATCACAGTAGCTTTCTGATGCCTTCAAGTCATGCTTTATTTCTTTTTTTTTATATTTAAGATATACATTTTGCCCATTTTCCTAGCCGTTTCCAGCAGGAGGGTTGGTCTGAGAAAACCTAGTAGGCCATTGCCAAAAGTGTCTCTCTCCTCCCTCTCCTCCTTCACTATTCCTGCCCATTCTCTACTAAAATGTAACATAGTTCTTTATAGTATCTCATTTACTGCTATTTCCAGCATCTAAAATAGTACCTAGCACAGAATAGAAGTTAATAGATATTTATGGAATTGAAAAATGAAGGAGAGAGCTGAGGGAACGTTGGGTGGATGGAGAGATTGAGCAAAAAAAAAAAGAGAGAACCTCATGGACAAGTATGGTGATTGCAGGGAGTGAAGGGAGGTGGAAGTGAAAGAAGATAAAGAGGGGATAAATGGTGATGGAAAAATAAAACAAAAAATGAATTAATATTTTACCTCAGAAGATAGAATGGAGATTCAAAAGAAAATGTTTTCACTGTTATTTTCTCAAACCTAAGATACAGTCATTCTTGAGCATAATTGGGTGAGTTCTGAACTCAAACTTGGGTCTTTTAAAATTCTAGGCTCTTAGTGACATTTCCTCAAGAAAGTTACACCCTTTGGTCATTATTTCTCCATTTGTAGATGATTTTACTCTCTTATTTAATGGAAATAGTTTCAATTTTTTAATTAAGATTAAAGAGCTTTCAAGAGAAAAAATTATAAAGATAGAAAGGACATTGGGTTTAATGTTATAATCAAGCAATCAAAATACTTAGGTATAAATATAATTTTTATGATGACGATACTATCAGTGAATACAAACAAGAAAAATAGATTATCATATTTTAAAAGGTAAAAATGAAGAATTTCATTAAAAATTACATTTGCATAATATGTAAATGTTTACCTGTGTTTTCCTCCTCTTTCTTTAGAGCCATTTTAAGTTCCAGATGTAGTTATTTTGCTGCGATGCTGAGTGGCTGTTGGGCTGAAAGTTCTCAAGAGAACATTACTCTTCAAGGGTAAGCATAATTTTTATAAGTTTGACTATAACGATTACAAATAATATGAAGCACTTCTTGTGAATCTGATTCTTCTGTAAGTTCAATGAAATATTTTTCATGTTGAGGAAATCTACAAAGTACATTTTCTGAAAACATGAGGAAGTAGGAAACATCTATCATAATAAAAGCATAATATGCTAATTAGACCAGACAGCCAAACGACCTTCTGGACATCCTTCTCGATGACCTTCTAGATGGAGCTGAGGCTGGAAGGGCCGAGTCCCTTGCACTAATTTCATGCATCAGGCCTCTTGTTTAGAAATAATAGAGATAGTGTATCAATCTTCTCAGGCTAGATGGCTTAAACAACAATTAATTTTCTCACAGTTCTGCAAATTCAAAGTGCCTACGAGGTCCTTCGGTGTCTAGTGAGAGGTCTTACCATGAGTCTTGTGATTGTAGGCAGCTGCTTCTCCCTGTATGCTCATCCCCTTTCCTCAGTGCATGGGGGCAGGGTGGGGAGGTGAAAGGAAGGTGAGGGAGAAAGAGTGCTTTGGTGTTTCTTATAAGGACACTAATCTTATCACATCAGGCAGAGCCTCACCCTAATTACCTCATTTAACCTTTTTTTTTTTCTTTATTGATTAAGGTATTATATATGTGTCCTTATCCTCTCACCGCCATACGCATGCCCTCACCCCCCTGTGTCTGTGTCCATTGATTAGGCTTATATTCATGCATACAAGTCCTTTGGTTGATCTCTCCCCCTTATCCCCATCCTCCCTACCTTCCCTCTGAGGTTTGACAGTCTGATGGATGCTTCTCTGTGTCTGGATCTGTTTTTGTTATTACTTCCTTAGAAGCCCTGTCTCCAAATACAGTCACACTGGGGTTCAATATATGAATTTAAGAGGGTGGGGGAATACAAATATTCTGTCTACAGTTTCTTTTTTCTTTCTTTTTTAAATTTAAAAAAATATATATTTTCTTATTTTTCTTTTTTAAAGAATAATTTGGAAAGATGTGGATTTCAGTGATCTAGAATAGTACAATGATGAAGCTATATAATTAATAGCACTTTATTTAAACTTTCAAGACAGTTATTAAGAGATGAACTACTTCCTCTTGAAATATTCATGTTTATTGCATGTAACATATTTAAAACAGTTTTTCTTGAAATATTAAAGTTTATTGCCTTTAGCATTTAAAAAAAAAAAAAAGATGTACTACTTCCTTAAATGGTGAAATGGAGCATTTTGGTCACAGATGATAAGTGCAAGATTCTATAGTGTACAGTATGAGAGAGGACTTTCTAAGTAGGAAAATAGCCTAGAAGTTCTGAGGGAGTTTCTCAGTTCTGCATCATTTTCACCATTGATGTTTCCTTGATGGGGTCAGTTTTGGTTAGAGGCTTAGGTATGGAATGGTGATACTGGCAATTCTGTAACAATGGATGCATGGAAAGTATTCATGATTTCTTACTGGATTTGTATTTGTCACACAGGCATATAATCTTGAGTCTTCTAGGTTACAATAATCTGGTTCCCTTTACCAACTAAAAGTACCTTTAGGCTACCTTCATCCTATACCTCCTGCTTCTGGCAGCCAGGTAATTTACAAATTTGGAAGATCTTATATGCCCCAAATCCCTCTCTATAAAGCATAGAATTTTTAAACATTTGTAAGAATTTGTAATGTGTTTTATTTTTTGTATTTTATTCACATAAGAGAAATGAAACACATATAAAAAAGAGCCCAAACCATTATCTTTCATACCATGGTTACATTTTATTTATTTATTTATTTAAAAATATATTTTATTGATTTTTTTTTTTTTTTTTTTTTTTTTTTTTTAGAGGGAGGAAGGGAGGAGGATAGAGAGTTAGAAACATCAATGAGAGAGAAAATCAATCAGCTGCCTCCTGCAACCCCCCACTGGGTATGTGCCCGCAACCAAGGTACATGTCCTTAACCAGAATCGAATCTGGGATCTTCGAGTTCACAGGCCAACACTCTATCCACTGAGCCAAACCAGTTAGGGCCACCATGGTTACATTTTAATTATATTACACCAATTTGAATACACATATAGCAATATATTTTGCAGCTTTACTTTTGGGTATAGTTTTAGCAACTGCCACTGTTAATGATTTCAGTTATGTATCCATGAAATTATGTGTATGCTTTTATTACAGTGTATGTGTGTGTGTTTTTTTTAAAGAAAAAAGACTAGATACTAATGAAATGGTAATAAAGAAAAATAATCTAGGATATAAATATCTATGTGTGTGTCTGTCTATCATCTATCTATCTATCTACTAAAGACCTGATGCATGAAATTTGTGCAAGGGGCTCCGCCCTTGCAGCACCGGTCTAGTGAGCATATTAGTTATTTATTATATAGGATATATATAAAATCACCAAGTTTTTACTTGATATTACTACTAAAATAAACTTCCTAACTAATTTGTCCCCCACATGCATAAAATTCTTACATATGGAAAGGTTGTTTTTTTTTTCCTATTTTTTCATTAATATACTATCAAAACATAACATGATTGCTTTGATGATATTTAAAAAATAACGTTTGCTGCCTTGGCTAGTGTGTTCAGTGGTTAGAATGTTAAGCTGTGCACAGAAGGGTCGCTGGTATGATTCCTAGGTCAAGGGCAGTTATCTGAGTTGCAGGTTTGACCACTTGTGGGAGGCAACTAGTCAGTGTCTCTCTTTCACACCAGTGTTTCTCTGACTTCCTCCCTCACTCCCTACCACCCTCCCTCCCTTCTACTCTCTTTAGAAATCAATGGAAAAAATGTTCTCAGGTGGGCATTAACAAAAATAAAAAGGAAAAAGGAATGTTTTATCTATGTAACCTTGTTATCTTTCTGAGCTTTTTTTTTATTCATTTAGTTAAAAACATTTTTATTGATATATTATTATATAGCATAATATTATTCTTAAGCATACAATGAATAATTCACTATCCTACCTAATGAAAGAGTAATATGCACATTAACCATCACTCTGCCATACCCACCAGCCAATCAGAGAGAGTATGCAAATAAACCCAACCAAGATGGCTACAGCCACAGAGAGTAGGAGGGAGGCTTGGGTTTCCCAGGCAATGGAGGAAGCCAAGCTTTTTTGCCTGCCCTTGCTGGCCTAAGCCTCCACTCAAGGCTACAAAGTTTCAATTATAGAAGGTAAACAAATCCAAACAGAAATGGCAGCAGCTACAGAGCTGGAAAGAGCGGGAGGCTAGGGTTTCCCCGGGAAATGGAGGAAGCAAAGCTTTCCATACACCCTGGCTGGCCCAGGCCTCCACTCCATGCTTCAGAGTTTCAATTATAGAAGATACATAAATTCCAACAGAATGGCTGCTGGCCACGGAGAGCAGGAGGTTTGGCTCTGCTCCAGGCTACAAAGTTTCAATTGTAGAAGGTAAATTCCTTAGAATTACCTTAAAAGGAAGATGAAGGGCCTCTACTTGGGTCGCCGGGGGCCATGGCTGGCCTGCAAACCACCAGAGGCCCCTCGCCCAGGCCGCCCTATGCCCCAAGAAAACCCCCATCCTGATCCAGGACACCCTTCAGGGCAAACCAGCCGGCCTCCACCCATGCACCAGGCTTCTATCTAATAGAAGAGTAATATGCAGATTGACCATCACTCCAACACAAAATATTGCTGCTCCCATGTAGTCAAAGATCCTGCACCTATGTGGATACAAGATGGCCACCACAAGATGGCCAGCAGGAGAGGGCAGTTGGGAGACACCAGGCCTGCAAATGAGAGCAGTTGGAGGTGATCAACCTTGCAGGGGAGGGCAGTTAGGGGTGACCAGGCCGACAGAGGAGGGAAGCTGGGGGCATACAGGCTGGTAGGGGAGCAGTAATATATCAATTAGGCTGGCATGGGAGTGGCTAGGGGGTGATCAGACTGGCAGGCAGAAGTAGTTAGGGGCAATCAGGAAGGCAGGCAGGCGAGCAGTTGGGAGCCAGCAATCCTGGATTGTGAGAGGGATGTCTGACTGCCCATTTAGGCCCAATCCCAGTGGAATCAGGCCTAAACGGGCAGTTTAACATCCCTCGAGTGGTCCCAGATTGGAGAGGGTGTAGGGTGGACTGAGGGACACCCCCTTCCCCCATTCCCGTGCACAAATTTCGTGCACCAGGCCTCTTGTGAAATGATAGTTAACATCCATCACCACCCATACTTGTAATTTTTTTTCTTGTGTGAGAATTTCTTGTGTGAGACTTGTCTAGTCTCTTAGCAACTTTCAAATATACAATACGTATTGTTAACTATAGACACCATGCCATACATTACAACCCCAGGATTTATGTTATAACTATAACTTTGTATCTTTTGATCATCTTTAACCATTTTGTACACCTCTTTACCCCCTTTCTGTGGCAATCAAATAGTTTCCAATTATGGAAGATTTTAAACACCAAGCTAAAAAAAAATTTATCCTTGAGATAAAAGGAATGTTTAGATGGATGAATTGGTAACATTGTAGATGGATGAATTGGTGACATAGCACTGTTGAAAACCAACCTGAAAGATATATGTATCCTACTGATAAGATCTCCTGTTTTCTGGTGAATTTAAAATATCCCTGGATATAGGGATAGTGCTAGCAGAGGCCAGAGTCTTTCTGTGTGCCAATCTAGGAATAATTACTGTGGTATAATTTTGAAAACTTGTTCAGGGATTATGTTTCAGATGTTTTAGACATCATTTTTAAAAACTATTAATCCATTCTAATTAGAACTGAATTCCATAAAAAATGTACTAGTAAATGGAGAGAAAACACTAATTTGACTCAGAATACAACTTTTTTGGTATTCATTAAAAATCATGTGATTCTGTATAGTGAGATAAAGGTAAAAAAAAGTATCTGATCATGCATCCGAGAAATGCAAAGTAAGATCACAATGTGCTATCACTTGACATCTGTCAGAATGACAGTCATCAATAAATCAATGAACATCAAGTGTTGTGAGGATGTGAAGAAA